AACACATCTACTGGTCAACACATCTACAGGTCAACACATCTACAGGTCAACACATCTACAGGTCAACACATCTACAGGTCAACACATCTACAGGTCAACACATCTGCTGGTCAACACATCTACAGGTCAACACATCTACAGGTCAACACATCTACAGGTCAACACATCTACAGGTCAACACATCTGCTGGTCAACACATCTACAGGTCAACACATCTACACATCTACAGGTCAACACATCTACACATCTACAGGTCAACACGTCTACACATCTACAGGTCAACACATCTACAGGTCAACACATCTGCTGGTCAACACATCTACAGGTCAACACATCTACACATCTACTGGTCAACACATCTACTGGTCAACACGTCTACACATCTACTGGTCAACACATCTACAGGTCAACACATCAACACATCTACAGGTCAACACATCTACAGGTCAACACATCTACTGGTCAACACATCTACTGGTCAATACATCTACAGGTCAATACATCTACAGGTCAACACATCTGCTGGTCAACACATCTACAGGTCAACACATCTACACATCTACAGGTCAACACATCTACACATCTACAGGTCAACACGTCTACACATCTACAGGTCAACACATCTACAGGTCAACACATCTGCTGGTCAACACATCTACAGGTCAACACATCTACACATCTACAGGTCAACACATCTGCTGGTCAACACATCTACAGGTCAACACATCTACACATCTACAGGTCAACACATCTACACATCTACAGGTCAACACGTCTACACATCTACAGGTCAACACATCTACAGGTCAACACATCTGCTGGTCAACACATCTACAGGTCAACACATCTACAGGTCAACACATCTACAGGTCAACACATCTACTGGTCAACACATCTACTGGTCAACACATCTACAGGTCAACACATCTACAGGTCAACACATCTGCTGGTCAACACATCAACACATCTACAGGTCAACACATCTAGTGGTCAACACATCTACAGGTCAACACATCAACACATCTACAGGTCAACACATCTACAGGTCAACACATCTGCTGGTCAACACATCTACAGGTCAACACATCTACTGGTCAACACATCTACAGGTCAACACATCTACACATCTACAGGTCAACACATCTACAGGTCAACGCATCTACAGGTCAACACATCTACACATCTACAGGTCAACACATCTACAGGTCAACACATCTACAGGTCAACACATCTACTGGTCAACACATCTACTGGTCAATACATCTACTGGTCAATACATCTACTGGTCAATACATCTACAGGTCAATACATCTACAGGTCAACACATCTACTGGTCAATACATCTACAGGTCAACACATCTACTGGTCAACACATCTACTGGTCAACACATCTACAGGTCAACACATCTACAGGTCAACACATCTACAGGTCAACACGTCTACAGGTCAACACATCTGCTGGTCAACACATCTACAGGTCAACACATCTACACATCTACAGGTCAACACATCTACAGGTCAACGCATCTACAGGTTAACACATCTACACATCTACAGGTCAACACATCTACAGGTCAACACATCTACAGGTCAACACATCTACAGGTCAACACATCAACACATCTACAGGTCAACACATCTACACATCTACAGGTCAACACATCTACTTGACAATACATCTACAGGTCAACACATCTACAGGTCAACACATCTACTTGTCAACACATCTACTGGTCAACACGTCTACACATCTACAGGTCAACACATCTACAGGTCAACACATCTACAGGTCAACACATCTACAGGTCAACACATCTACAGGTCAACACATCTACAGGTCAACACATCTACACATCTACAGGTCAACACATCTACTTGACAATACATCTACAGGTCAACACATTTACAGGTCAACACATTTACAGGTCAACACATCTACAGGTCAACACATCTACAGGTCAACACATCTACAGGTCAACACATCTACTGGTCAACACATCTACTGGTCAACACGTCTACACATCTACAGGTCAACACATCTACAGGTCAACACATCTACAGGTCAACACATTTACAGGTCAACACATTTACAGGTCAACACATTTACAGGTCAACACATCTACAGGTCAACACATCTACAGGTCAACACATCTACTGGTCAACACGTCTACTGGTCAACACGTCTACACATCTACAGGTCAACACATCTACAGGTCAACACATCTACAGGTCAACACATCTACAGGTCAACACATCTACAGGTCAACACATCTACTTGTCAACACATCTACTGGTCAACACATCTACTGGTCAACACGTCTACACATCTACAGGTCAACACATCTACAGGTCAACACATCTGCTGGTCAACACATCTACAGGTCAACACATCTACACATCTACAGGTCAACACATCTACACGTCTACAGGTCGACACGTCTACACATCTACAGGTCAACACATCTACAGGTCAACACATCTGCTGGTCAACACATCTACAGGTCAACACATCTACACATCTACTGGTCAATACATCTACAGGTCAACACATCTACAGGTCAACACATCTACAGGTCAACACATCTACAGGTCAACACATCTACAGGTCAACACATCTACAGGTCAACACATCTACAGGTCAACACATCTACAGGTCAATTCATCTACAGGTCAACACATCTACAGGTCAACACATCTGCTGGTCAACACATCTACAGGTCAACACATCAACACATCTACTGGTCAACACATCTACAGGTCAACACATCTACAGGTCAACACATCTACAGGTCAACACATCTACAGGTCAACACATCTACAGGTCAACACATCTGCTGGTCAACACATCTACAGGTCAACACATCTACAGGTCAACACATCTACAGGTCAACACATCTACAGGTCAACACATCTGCTGGTCAACACATCTACAGGTCAACACATCTACACATCTACAGGTCAACACATCTACACATCTACAGGTCAACACGTCTACACATCTACAGGTCAACACATCTACAGGTCAACACATCTACAGGTCAACACATCTACAGGTCAACACATCTACAGGTCAATTCATCTACAGGTCAACACATCTACAGGTCAACACATCTGCTGGTCAACACATCTACAGGTCAACACATCAACACATCTACTGGTCAACACATCTACAGGTCAACACATCTACAGGTCAACACATCTACAGGTCAACACATCTACAGGTCAACACATCTACAGGTCAACACATCTGCTGGTCAACACATCTACAGGTCAACACATCTACAGGTCAACACATCTACAGGTCAACACATCTACAGGTCAACACATCTGCTGGTCAACACATCTACAGGTCAACACATCTACACATCTACAGGTCAACACATCTACACATCTACAGGTCAACACGTCTACACATCTACAGGTCAACACATCTACAGGTCAACACATCTGCTGGTCAACACATCTACAGGTCAACACATCTACACATCTACTGGTCAACACATCTACTGGTCAACACGTCTACACATCTACTGGTCAACACATCTACAGGTCAACACATCAACACATCTACAGGTCAACACATCTACAGGTCAACACATCTACTGGTCAACACATCTACTGGTCAATACATCTACAGGTCAATACATCTACAGGTCAACACATCTGCTGGTCAACACATCTACAGGTCAACACATCTACACATCTACAGGTCAACACATCTACACATCTACAGGTCAACACGTCTACACATCTACAGGTCAACACATCTACAGGTCAACACATCTGCTGGTCAACACATCTACAGGTCAACACATCTACACATCTACAGGTCAACACATCTGCTGGTCAACACATCTACAGGTCAACACATCTACACATCTACAGGTCAACACATCTACACATCTACAGGTCAACACGTCTACACATCTACAGGTCAACACATCTACAGGTCAACACATCTGCTGGTCAACACATCTACAGGTCAACACATCTACAGGTCAACACATCTACAGGTCAACACATCTACTGGTCAACACATCTACTGGTCAACACATCTACAGGTCAACACATCTACAGGTCAACACATCTGCTGGTCAACACATCAACACATCTACAGGTCAACACATCTAGTGGTCAACACATCTACAGGTCAACACATCAACACATCTACAGGTCAACACATCTACAGGTCAACACATCTGCTGGTCAACACATCTACAGGTCAACACATCTACTGGTCAACACATCTACAGGTCAACACATCTACACATCTACAGGTCAACACATCTACAGGTCAACGCATCTACAGGTCAACACATCTACACATCTACAGGTCAACACATCTACAGGTCAACACATCTACAGGTCAACACATCTACTGGTCAACACATCTACTGGTCAATACATCTACTGGTCAATACATCTACTGGTCAATACATCTACAGGTCAATACATCTACAGGTCAACACATCTACTGGTCAATACATCTACAGGTCAACACATCTACTGGTCAACACATCTACTGGTCAACACATCTACAGGTCAACACATCTACAGGTCAACACATCTACAGGTCAACACGTCTACAGGTCAACACATCTGCTGGTCAACACATCTACAGGTCAACACATCTACACATCTACAGGTCAACACATCTACAGGTCAACGCATCTACAGGTTAACACATCTACACATCTACAGGTCAACACATCTACAGGTCAACACATCTACAGGTCAACACATCTACAGGTCAACACATCAACACATCTACAGGTCAACACATCTACACATCTACAGGTCAACACATCTACTTGACAATACATCTACAGGTCAACACATCTACAGGTCAACACATCTACAGGTCAACACATCTACAGGTCAACACATCTACAGGTCAACACATCTACAGGTCAACACATCTACTGGTCAACACATCTTCTTGTCAACACATCTAAAACTGAAATGTACCTGAGGCAGCAACCATGTCCCACATGACTTACCTCTGCGTCCAGCGTGGCGTCCTGCATGGCTGTCAGGCCTGTCAGATCCTCCAGATACCCCGGCTCATTGAAGGCCTTCAGCAGGAAGTCAAAACCCTCACGCTCGTATCTCTCCAACACCTGGCAATACAACAGCTGGCAATACAACAGCTGGCAATACAACATCTGGCAATACAACACCTGGCAATACAACATCTGGCAATACAACATCTGGCAATACAACACCTGGCAATACAACATCTGGCAATACAACATCTGGCAATACAACACCTGGCAATACAACATCTGGCAATACAACATCTGGCAATACAACACCTGGCAATACAACATCTGGCAATACAACATCTGGCAATACAACATCTGGCAATACAACATCTGGCAATACAACACCTGGCAATACAACATCTGGCAATACAACAGCTGGCAATACAACACCTGGCAATACAACACCTGGCAATACAACAGCTGGCAATACAACAGCTGGCAATACAACACCTGGCAATACAACACCTGGCAATACAACATCTGGCAATACAACAGCTGGCAATACAACAGCTGGCAATACAACACCTGGCAATACAACACCTGGCAATACAACAGCTGGCAATACAACAGCTGGCAATACAACACCTGGCAATACAACACCTGGCAATACAACAGCTGGCAATACAACATCTGGCAATACAACACCTGGGAATACAACATCTGGCAATACATCTGGGAATACAACATCTGGCAATACAACATCTGGCAATACAACATCTGGCAATACAACACCTGGCAATACAACACCTGGGAATACAACATCTGGCAATACAACATCTGGCAATACAACATCTGGCAATACAACAACTGGGAATATAACAGCTCTTAACAGATAATGACTCACAATTGGACAGCAGGCTGTACACATGTCAAATGCTCGGCTAGCTGGGAGGATCTGGTGGAATCTGGACAGGAAACCTCGGATCTAGAACAAAGAGTGGACATTAAGTGGACATTTGAATAGAGCAGATCTTTTAAATAAACTTATATATAACATGGATGAACACACACACACCTGATGAGAATCACACACACCTGATGGGGAACACACACACACACATTATGGGGAACACACACACACACCTGATGGGGAACACACACACACACATTATGGGGAACACACACACACACACCTGATGGGGAATGATGCCCAGAGAACAGTCAGAGTCTCTAACAAGATGGTCATCATTGGCGCTGGTATCTGCTGGAGCTTCAGCCCTGTAAGGAGAGGTCAGAGGTCAGCACAACACAATACATACACCTACAACAACAACACATACACTAACAACACATACACCTACAACACATACACCTACAACAACAACACATACACCTACAATACAACACATACACCAACAATACAACACATACACCTACAATACAACACATACACCTACAACACAACACATACACCTACAACACAGACACATTCACTAACAACACAACACATACACCTACATTACAACGCAGACAAATTCACTAACAACACAACACATAAACCGACAACACAACACAGACACATTAACTAACAACACAACACATAGATATGGGGGGGGGGGGGGGGGGGGGTGAGTAAGTCAACAAAAAACCAGCAGAGAACAGATGCAGATAGTGTAGAGCTAGTACATTGCTGCATGGGTGCCCTGTCAAAACGGCCCCGTTAATATGACCCCGTCAAATCGACTCCCGACAAACCGACCCCGTCAAAATAGCCCCGTCAAAAGGGCCCCGACTTATTGGCTCCCGTCAAATGGGCTCCCGTCATATTGACTTGCGACATATAGGCTCCCGACAAATGGGCTCCCGACATTTAGGCTCCCGACAAATAGACTTCCGACATATTGGCTCCCGACAGATAGGCTCAGGACATATTGGCTCCCGACAAATGGGCTCCCGACATATTGGCTCCCGACATAAGGGCTCACGATAAATGGGCTCCCGACAAATGGGCTCACGACATATTGGCTACCGACAATTGGGCTCCCGCCATATTGGCTCCAGACAAAATGGCTCCCGGCAATTGGACTCTAGACAAAAGAAATCCAGACATATTGGCTCCCGACTAAATGACTCCCGACTTATTGGCTCACTATAAAATGGCTCCGGTTAAATAACTCCCGACTTAAAACACTTCCCGACAAAGAAACCGTTTTCTGAGGAGTTATCACATTTTTATCTTTAAACAGTTCGCTTTCTACAAAGTTTCGAGTATTGTAATTTTATATTAACCTGATTTAAGTGCATGCTGAGCTGTTGTTTACGCCACACTACCCAAGCTCAGCTGTTTCTGTTTAAATTTAGCATGCATGTTACACATTTTGCGTTTGTTGTCTAGGTTTTTCACATGTTAATTTCAATGTACGGATGTCCACATGGACCCCCTCCCTCCTTCCCAGTCCACAACAGTCGATGTTAATCGACACTCCACCCACCATGTTGACGTCATAAAAGGATGACGGCTAGCAAACATGCTTTTGAAAAATTGATCCCTGGACTACAAAAACAACAAACGAAGATGTTAACTATCATACTAGCTAGTATTACAATGCGTGGGGGAGGGGGGGGGGGGGGTGGTCTGTACATTATGCATGCCTTTTGAGCAATGTGTTAGTCTACTTTAAATCGCAAGCCTAGGAAATAGTTCATAAACGATACATTTATCTACTCGATACTTGCGAGGCTAAAAAGAGGGGTGGGATGGGGGTCGGCTCGGGAAAAAACTTGAAAGAGACAACAAAGCGTTTATGTACGTCAGCATCGCCCTTTGTAAAACTTACAAAGGGGATATAATTCCAAGTATAGGCCCTAAAAGTTTACTATTATATTTCTTGTAAAAACAAAAAAAAAAAGTAAACGTATATAAAACTGAAGTTTCTAGTATTACATTATTTTTTAATTATTTGTAGGATACAAGATAGTACAGGATACAAATTCAACCACTATCACAAACACCTATTTAACATTGAAAAATGTACAATGGATTTCGGGTCCCTAACAAATGCCGCAAATAAGAACCGCGCATCACGAAAGCCCACTTCATATATAGCGGCTTCTCGTGCCATGGACTTTGTTGTTTTTTACTTTCTCGTATATACGAAGTATAGAGAAAGTCTTGTAATCGTGCAAAAAAAAAAATCGAGATTTTTGCAAACCTCGACGTTTTACATCTCACTGATACGGAAAAACATAATTTTGCAATCTTGTCCGTATGTCTGTGTGTCCGTGTGTGTGTGTGTGTGTGTGTCCGTGTGTAAACACGATAACTTGAGTACCGTTACAGCTAGGTTAATGAAATTTTATATACAAGTATTATATCAAAATCGTAGATCCGTATCAACTTTTGAGCGATTTCGGATAACCGGAAAAGGTACTTTTTCTACTTTGAATTTTTCAAAAGCCTATAACTTGAGTACTATTTCAGATAGATAAATGAAATTTCACATGTAAGTAAAAAATCTAATTCTCTACCTTCTGTTAAATTTTGAGTAATTTCCGTTGACCGGAAGTAGTACTTTACGCTACTTCCGATTTCTCAAAAAACTAATGTAAATTTATAAAGTACTAATACTATTGCGCACTATTATACACACCTTTATTAGGCGTTCGCTTGGTGCGCAATTGTTTTTTACTGAGATTCTATTCTATTTTTAAAAGTTTCAGTATTTAAAATGGATTAAAGATCATAACTATATCCCCAGTTACCATCCCCTGTTGTTTTATATAAGAATATTCGAGAAAGTTTAGGGGAGATCACTACCGGTTTATTTAAAAAGAATTTTGCCGGCGACAGCGTGTGTTTGGTTGTAGGGAAATAGAACTCGGCCGTGTTGGTGCCCATCCCTTGCCCCATCCGCCACAGTACACTTTGGAGGATCGGTCAAACAGTTAAGTGTCCTCTATTTGGCTATCAAAAGGGGGCAACGAGTCAAAGAAGTCATATTTTTTTAATAACCTGGAAGCAGATTGACTGTAATTGTATCGTAGGGACCCTAACCCGGCATGTGTATAATGGGCTGCAGCATCCTACACCCCTAAGTAGAAATGTAACAGATGACCACTAAACTAAAAATTAATACAGTACAAGAAATACTTTTTTTTTTTAAATTAAGACATGGCGACCTAAAGCTAAGGACGCTTTATTATCTTAGGCTTACTTCTGTAGTCCATTGAGGAATGGTGGGTGTTGACATGAGCCATTATCATTATGTCGGGAGCCGTATTGACGTGAGCCAAAATAACGAGCCTTTTTGTCAGGAACCATATTGACGGGAGCCAATTTGTCGCGAGCCTAAATAACGGGAGCCTATATGACGGGAGCCACATAGACGGGAGTCAATTTATCGAGAGTCTTAATGACCGGAGCCTTTTTGTCGTGAGCCAATTTAACGGGAGCCAATTTGACGCGAGCCTAAATGACAGAAGCCCTTTTATCAGGAACTATATTGACGGGAGCCCTTTTGCTGGGAGCCCTTTTGTCTGGAGCCATTTTTGTCGGTTGTCGTAATGACGGGAGCCTATTTGTTAGAATCCTTATTGACGGGAGCCTTTTTGTCGCTAGCCTTATTGACGGTAGCCCTTTTGACTGGAGCCTAAATGACGGGAGCCTAAATGATATGAGCCAAATTGTCGGTTGTCGTAATGACGGGAGCCTATTTGTTAGAATCCTTATTGACGGGAGCCTTTTTGTCGCGAGCCTTATTGACGGTAGCCCTTTTGACTGGAGCCTAAATGATGGGATCCATTTGTCTATGAACCTTTTGACGGGGCCGATTTGACGGGGCTATTTTGACGGGGCCGTTTTTGACGGGGCCGTTTTGTCACGGGCCGGTTTGACGCCGCACGTGCTGCATGACATCCACACTCAGTACAGGACCACCAACCCACCAGGACCACCAACCCACCAGGACCACCAACCCACCAGCACCACCAACCCACCAGGACCACCAACCCACCAGGACCACCAACCCACCAGGACCACCAACCCACCAGCACCACCAACCCACCAGGACCACCAACCCACCAGGACCACCAACCCACCAGGACCACCAACCCACCAGGACCACCAACCCACCAGGACCACCAACCCACCAGGACCACCAACCCACCAGGACCACCAACCCACCAGCACCACCAACCCACCAGGACCACCAACCCACCAGCACCACCAACCCACCAGGACCACCAACCCACCAGGACCACCAACCCACCAGGACCACCAACCCACCAGGACCACCAACCCACCAGGACCACCAACCCACCAGCACCACCAACCCACCAGGACCACCAACCCACCAGGACCACCAACCCACCAGGACCACCAACCCACCAGGACCACCAACCCCCCAGGACCAGCAACCCACCAACCCACCAGGACCACCAACCCACCAGGACCACCAACCCACCAGGACCACCAACCCACCAGGAACACCAACCCACCAGGACCACCAACCCACCAGGACCACCAACCCACCAGGACCACCAACCCACCAACTCACCAGACCAGGACCACCAACCCACCAGGACCACCAACCCACCAGGACCACCAACCCACCAGGACCACCAACCCACCAGGACCACCAACCCACCAGGACCACCAACCCACCAGGACCACCAACCCACCAGCACCACCAACCCACCAGGACCACCAACCCACCAGGACCACCAACCCACCAGAACCACCAACCCACCAGGACCACCAACCCACCAGGACCACCAACCCACCAGGACCACCAACCCACCAGGAACACCAACCCACCAGGACCACCAACCCACCAGGACCACCAACCCACCAGGACCACCAACCCCCCAGGACCACCAACCCACCAACTCACCAGACCAGGACCACCAACCCACCAGGACCACCAACCCACCAGGACCACCAACCCACCAGGACCACCAACCCACCAGGACCACCAACCCACCAGGACCACCAACCCACCAGGACCACCAACCCACCAGGACCACCAACCCACCAGGACCACCAACCCACCAGGACCTCCAACCCACCAGGACCACCAACCCACCAGGACCACCAGCCCACCAGGACCACCAACCCACCAGGACCTCCAACCCACCAGGACCACCAACCCACCAGGACCACCAACCCACCAGGACCACCAGCCCACCAGGACCACCAACCCACCAGGACCACCACCTCACCAGGACCACCAACCCACCAGCACCACCAACCCACCAGGACCACCACCTCACCAGGACCACCAGCCCACCAGGACCACCAGCCCACCAACCCACCAGCACCACCAACCCACCAGCACCACCAACCCACCAGCCCACCAGGACCACCAGCCCACCAACCCACCAGCACCACCAACCCACCAGGACCACCAACCCACCAGGACCACCAACCCACCAGCACCACCAACTCACCAGACCACCAGCACCACCAACCCACCAGGACCACCAACCCACCAGGACCACCAACCCACCAGGACCACCAACCCACCAGGACCACCAACCCACCAGGACCACCAACCCACCAGGACCACCAACCCACCAGCACCACCAACCCACCAGGACCACCAACCCACCAGGACCACCAACCCACCAGGACCACCAACCCACCAGGACCACCAACCCACCAACCCACCAGGACCACCAACCCACCAGGACCACCAACCCACCAGGACCACCAACCCACCAGGACCACCAACCCACCAGGACCACCAACCCACCAGGACCACCAACCCACCAACTCACCAGACCAGGACCACCAACCCACCAGGACCACCAACCCACCAGGACCACCAACCCACCAGGACCACCAACCCACCAGGACCACCAACCCACCAGCACCACCAACCCACCAGGACCACCAACCCACCAGGACCACCAACCCACCAGGACCACCAACCCACCAGGACCACCAACCCACCAGGACCACCAACCCACCAACCCACCAGGACCACCAACCCACCAACCCACCAGGACCACCAACCCACCAGGACCACCAACCCACCAGGACCACCAACCCACCAGGACCACCAACCCACCAGGACCACCAGGACCACCAACCCACCAGGACCACCAACCCACCAGGACCACCAACCCACCAGGACCACCAACCCACCAGGACCACCAACCCACCAGGACCACCAACCCACCAGCACCACCAACCCACCAGGACCACCAACCCACCAGGACCACCAACCCCCCAGGACCACCAACCCCCCAGGACCACCAGACCAGGACCACCAACCCACCAACCCACCAGGACCACCAACCAACCAGGACCACCAACCCACCAGGACCACCAACCCACCAGGACCACCAACCCACCAGGACCACCAGGACCACCAACCCACCAGGACCACCAACCCACCAGGACCACCAACCCACCAGGACCACCAACCCCCCAGGACCACCAACCCCCCAGGACCACCAACCCCCCAGGACCACCAACCCCCCAGGACCACCAACCCCCCAGGACCACCAGACCAGGACCACCAACCCACCAGGACCACCAACTCACCAGACCAGGACCACCAACTCACCAGGACCACCAACCCACCAGGACCACCAACCCCCCAGGACCACCAACCCCCCAGGACCACCAGACCAGGACCACCAACCCACCAGGACCACCAACCCACCAGGACCACCAGGACCACCAACCCACCAGGACCACCAACCCACCAGGACCACCAACCCACCAGGACCACCAACCCCCCAGGACCACCAACCCCCCAGGACCACCAGACCAGGACCACCAACCCCCCAGGACCACCAACCCCCCAGGACCACCAGACCAGGACCACCAACCCACCAGGACCACCAACTCACCAGACCAGGACCACCAACCCACCAGGACCACCAACCCCCCAGGACCACCAACCCCCCAGGACCACCAACCCCCCAGGACCACCAGACCAGGACCACCAACCCACCAGGACCACCAACCCACCAGGACCACCAACCCACCAGGACCACAACCCACCAGGACCACCAACCCACCAGGACCACCAACCCACCAGGACCACCAACCCACCAGGACCTCCAACCCACCAGGACCACCAACCCACCAGGACCACCAGCCCACCAGGACCACCAACCCACCAGGACCTCCAACCCACCAGGACCACCAACCCACCAGGACCACCAACCCACCAGGACCACCAGCCCACCAGGACCACCAACCCACCAGGACCACCACCTCACCAGGACCACCAACCCACCAGCACCACCAACCCACCAGGACCACCACCTCACCAGGACCACCAGCCCACCAGGACCACCAGCACCACCAACCCACCAGCCCACCAGGACCACCAGCCCACCAGGACCACCAACCCACCAGGACCACCAACCCACCAGACCACCAGCACCACCAACCCACCAGGACCACCAACCCACCAGGACCACCAACCCACCAGGACCACCAACCCACCAGGACCACCAACCCACCAGGACCACCAACCCACCAGGACCACCAACCCACCAGGACCACCAACCCCCCAGGACCACCAGACCAGGACCACCAACCCCCCAGGACCACCAACCCCCCAGGACCACCAGACCAGGACCACCAACCCACCAGGACCACCAACCCACCAGGACCACCAACCCCCCAGGACCACCAACCCACCAGGACCACCAACCCACCAGGACCACCAACCCACCAGGACCACCAACCCACCAGGACCACCAACCCACCAGGACTACCAACCCACCAACCCACCAGGACCACCAACCCACCAGGACCACCAACCCACCAGGACCACCAACTTACCCCTGTGGGTGCTGTATCAGTGAGACCAACAGCTCTACAGCTAGAGCTGAAGCCACCATAGAGATGCCAGGTCTGGTCACTGTACACTGTTGGTCCAGGGTCCTGTCTCGGGTGGACTGAAAGGAAGGGTTGGGTTGGTCACATCTCACGTCTATAAGGGTTGGGTTGGTCACATCTCACGTCTATAAGGGTTGGGTTGGGTTGGTCACATCTCACGTCTATAAGGGTTGGGTTGGTCACAGCTCAAGTCTATAAGGGTTGGGTTGGTCACAGCTCAAGTCTATAAGGGTTGGGTTGGTCACAGCTCAAGTCTATAAGGGTTGGGTTGGGTTGGTCACAGCTCACGTCTATAAGGGTTGGGTTGGTCACATCTCACGTCTATAAGGGTTGGGTTGGTCACATCTCACGTCTATAAGGGTTGGGTTGGTCACAGCTCAAGTCTATAAGGGTTGGGTTGGTCACAGCTCAAGTCTATAAGGGTTGGGTTAGTCACAGCTCAAGTCTATAAGGGTTGGGTTAGTCACAGCTCCAGTCTATAAGGGTTGGGTTGGGTTGGTCACAGCTCACGTCTATAAGGGTTGGGTTGGTCACATCTCACGTCTATAAGGGTTGGGTTGGTCACAGCTCAAGTCTATAAGGGTTGGGTTAGTCACAGCTCAAGTCTATAAGGGTTGGGTTAGTCACAGCTCCAGTCTATAAGGGTTGGGTTGGGTTGGTCACAGCTCACGTCTATAAGGGTTGGGTTGGTCACATCTCACGTCTATAAGGGTTGGGTTGGTCACAGCTCAAGTCTATAAGGGTTGGGTTAGTCACAGCTCAAGTCTATAAGGGTTGGGTTAGTCACAGCTCCAGTCTATAAGGGTTGGGTTGGGTTGGTCACAGCTCACGTCTATAAGGGTTGGGTTGGTCACATCTCACGTCTATAAGGGTTGGGTTGGTCACAGCTCAAGTCTATAAGGGTTGGGTTAGTCACAGCTCAAGTCTATAAGGGTTGGGTTAGTCACAGCTCCAGTCTATAAGGGTTGGGTTGGGTTGGTCACAGCTCACGTCTATAAGGGTTGGGTTGGTCACAGCTCCAGTCTATAAGGGTTGGGTTGGGTTGGTCATAGCTCCAGTGTATAAGGATTGGGTTGGTCACAGCTCCATTTTAAAAGGGTTGGGTTGGGTTGGTCACAGCTCAAGTCTATAAGGGTTGGGTTGGTCACAGCTCCATTCTATAAGGGTTGGGTTGGTCACATCTCAAGTCTAAAAGGGTTGGGTTGGGTTAGTCACAGCTCTGTTCTATAAGGGTTGGGTTGGTCACAGCTCTGTTCTATAAGGGTTGGGTTGGGTTAGTCACAGCTCCATTCTAAAAGGGTTGGGTTGGGTTAGTCACAGCTCCATTCTAAAAGGGTTGGGTTAGTCACAGCTCTGTTGTATATATTTTCTACATATAGTATCAAGATACAAGGAATGCTTACATTGCCAGGGGCTACAACATCATTACAAAAGTAGCAGCCCAGTAAGTTGCCAGGTATTCTATCCAGCATAATTGGCGCGACCTTTTGACCTTCAACATCTGTTTTAATTCCATGACGCAAAACAAGAAAAGTGTCAAAACCTAGGGCTGCATTGATGACAATCTGAAACATGAGAGAACATGGGTCAGGGGAGAAGGTGGGTCAGGGGAGAAGGTGGGTCAGGGGAGAAGGTGGGTCAGGGGAGAAGGTGGGTCAGGGGAGAACATGGGTCAGGGGAGAACATGGGTCAGGGAATAAGGTGGGTCAGGGGAGAAGGTGGGTCAGGGGAGAACATGGGTCAGGGAATAAGGTGGGTCAGGGGAGGTGGGTCAGGGGAGAACATGGGTCAGGGGAGAACATGGGTCAGGGGAGAACATGGGTCAGGGGAGAACATGGGTCAGGGGAGAAGGTGGGTCAGGGGAGAAGGTGGGTCAGGGGAGAAGGTGGGTCAGGGGAGAACATGGGTCAGGGGAGAAGGTGGGTCAGGGGAGAACATGGGTCAGGGAATAAGGTGGGTCAGGGGAGGTGGGTCAGGGGAGAACATGGGTCAGGGGAGAACATGGGTCAGGGGAGAACATGGGTCAGGGGAGAACATGGGTCAGGGAATAAGGTGGGTCAGGGGAGAACATGGGTCAGGGGAGAACATGGGTCAGGGGAGAACATGGGTCAGGGGAGAACATGGGTCAGGGGAGAACATGGGTCAGGGGAGAACATGGGTCAGGGGAGAACATGGGTCAGGGGAGAACATGGGTCAGGGGAGAACATGGGTCAGGGGAGAAGGTGGGTCAGGGGAGAACATGGGTCAGGGGAGAACATGGGTCAGGAGAGAAGTTGGGTCAGGGGAGAAGTTGGGTCAGGGGAGAAGTTGGGTCAGGGGAGAATATGGGTAAAGGGAGATTGTGGGTCAACAACATTCTACATCAGAAGTGTCAGTCTATGTTCATCCAGTCCACATTTTAAGGTGAGCATTTAAGTACTTTTAAATCCAGTCTATATTTTAAGAGCTATTTATCTCTGGCCACTGACTTTCCTTCTTGAAGCAGCTAATAGTGTGGGCAACCAGCGACTTTCCCGTGTGTCCATCAGAAGGAAAATTGCATCATGGGAGTCTATAAGCTCCTCAAGCTTCTTGACGTCTGCCTTGGTCTGTTCAAGGATAGAGTCTGAAAATGTCATCAAAAGTTGGCAATTAAAAACTTTTGATACCAACTTGGTCAAACTAGACCAAAATATTTACATCATGACAGTATCAGACAGCACACAAATGACAGTATCAGACAGCACACAAATCATGACAGTATCAGACAGCACACAAATCATGACAGTATCAGACAGCACACAAATCATGACAGTATTAGACAGCACACAAATGACAGTATCAGACAGCACACAAATCATGACAGTATCAGACAGCACACAAATGACAGTATCAGACAGCACACAAATGACAGTATCAGACAGCACACAAATGACAGTATCAGACAGCACACAAATCATGACAGTATCAGACAGCATACAAATGACAGTATCAGACAGCACACAGATGACAGTATCAGACAGCAAACAAATCATGACAGTATCAGACAGCAAACAAATCATGACAGTATCAGACAGCACACAAATGACAGTATCAGACAGCACACAAATCATGACAGTATCAGACAGCACACAAATCATGACAGTATCAGACAGCACACAAATGACAGTATCAGACAGCACACAAATGACAGTATCAGACAGCACACAAATGACAGTATCAGACAGCACACAAATGACAGTATCAGACAGCACACAAATGACAGTATCAGACAGCAAACAAATGACATCAAATCTCGCCATTTCCGACGTGACAAAACTTTGCGTCTAGATATTACCTGCAACAGTGTGGCCTGGCATGGGAATCGATAAACTCAGTCCTTCAGACTTCTAAACAAACAAAAAATGTTGTCATGACGACTATCACTAACTAGTCTAACTACTGCTAAAGAAAATGTTGTCATGACGACTGTCACTAACTAGTCTAACTACTGCTAAAGAAAATGTTGTCATGACGACTGTCACTAACTAGTCTAACTACTGCTAAAGCCGTAGACTGACCATGCCGGGGAAAATTGTCCTGAGTGAAGCAGCGGCTGCCTGAGCCTTGGGTTGTCCCCCCTCTAGACAGTGGTCAAACGTGAAGAGGGTTTGTCTGACTGGGTTGGAGTAGGACACCTTGGAGTTGTCTACCATTGTGATGTGCCGCACGCCCCAACTCTGGGTTCAAAAACTTTTATCACATTCTTGGCAAACAATTTTTCAGTAGCTAGATATTTTTTATAATAATAACCTGGCCACATTACAACCTGGCCACATTACAACATGGCCACATTACAACCTGGCCACATTACAACATGGCCACTTTACAACCTGGCCACCAGTACTAACCATCAACAACCTGGCCACATTACAGCCTGGCCACATTACAACCTGGCCACATTACAACCTGGCCACATTACAACATGGCCACATTACAACCTGGCCACCAGTACTAACCATCAACAACCTGGCCACATTACAGCCTGGCCACATTACAACCTGGCCACCAGTACTAACCATCAACAACCTGGCCACATTACAGCCTGGCCACATTACAACCTGGCCACCAGTACTAACCATCAACAACCTGGCCACATTACAACATGGCCACATTACAACCTGGCCACATTACAACCTGGCCACCAGTACTAACCATCAACAACCTGGCCACATTACAACCTGGCCACATTACAACCTGGCCACATTACAACCTGGCCACCAGTACTAACCATCAACAACCTGGCCACATTACAGCCTGGCCACATTACAACCTGGCCACCAGTACTAACCATCAACAACCTGGCCACATTACAACATGGCCACATTACAACCTGGCCACATTACAACCTGGCCACATTACAACCTGGCCACCAGTACTAACCATCAACAACCTGGCCACATTACAGCCCAGCGTACCAGACCCAAGCACCAGACAGCGAGTGGCTGAGATCTTCTCCAGCTCTAGGTCTGGCAACAGCCTCCAGCGCATTAATTTCAGATTGAGATCCACAGCTGACTCAGCTAGTCTGAAACAAATTTTAAAACCAGAATTTCAGATTGAGATCCACAGCTGACTCAGCTAGTCTGAAAACAAATTTTAAAACCAGAATTTCAGATTGAGATCCACAGCTGACTCAGCTAGTCTGAAAACAAATTTTAAAACCAGAATTTCAGATTGAGATCCACAGCTGACTCAGCTAGTCTGAAAACAAATTTTAAAACCAGAATTTCAGATTGAGATCCACAGCTGACTCAGCTAGTCTGAAAACAAATTTTAAAACCAGAATTTCAGATTGAGATCCACAGCTGACTCAGCTAGTCTGAAAACAAATTTTAAAACCAGAATTTCAAATTGAGATCCACAGCTGACTCAGCTAGTCTGAAAACAAATTTTAAAACCAGAATTTCATTATTCAAAGCTTATCTTTTCTGGCAATTTAACACATGAGACAGGCACCTGTCAGTAGCCGTTTACCTGACAGGGTCCATACTGCTGCTCAGGTTGACCATCCTGGGTCCCATCTTCTGGCGTTCATTTTTTTCCCAGCCAACACATTCTGGCAACTCTGCACAGTCAAAGGTCAAACACTTAGGGTGAAGGTCAGTAAAACAAGACATAAAACTAATGATAACTTGTTTTTCCAGTCTTGACTGCTGGACAAGTCTCAAGTTTGGGCCAGCAGTTTATCTTCCCTAAATCTTTTAGTATACTACATTTTTTAAATACAACAGATTCATGTGGAAAAAATAATTGTGCACCAAATAGAGTGGAAAATGAGGGCTTTATAAAAGAAACAATGATTCATTTATAAAAAAAGTTAATTTAACATCTAATCGGTCTGATAGAAGTAATCATTTTTCAGAAATTGCGTAAAGTAATACTTCCGTTTGATGGAAATCACTGAAAATTTGAGTCAAAAGAAAAAGATCATATGCCTATGTTTAAAATTTCATCCACCTGACATAAACTGTACGCAAGTTATTGGCTTTTCAAAAGAAGTTACAGAACTATGTATAAAATTTGGTCAATATAGTTGAAACGGTCTCAAGCAATTATGTTCACAGACAGACAGCCAGAAAGACACAAAGAGAAAATTTCTGACTTAGGGAGGTGTAAAATGTAGAGATTTGTCAAAATGATTACAATTACTTCCTCTATACATAGCATACAAGGAAGTAAAAACTATGTCAGTAAGAAAACTTCCCACCCAAACAAGTCTTTTAACCTTTTTTTCTACTTACGGCACTTATAAGTACCACTTTAATTGACGGCACTTATAAGTACCACTTTAATTGACGGCACTTATAAGTACCACTTTAATTGACGGCACTTATAAGTACCACTTTAATTAAACCCCTGTATTATTTTTAATTTAAGATGAATTTTAAAAATTATTTAAATAATTTATAGTATTATCTCCCCTTTGTCACGGTAGGGAGCAGGATTTCTGTTTTTTTGTGTTTTTTTTCTATGCTGCGCTATTTTCAATCTCTTCCTGTATCGGTAGCCCACAATTGTTCTGTACAGATCTCACATGTGTTCTTTATTTCCCTTTGTTTTACCTTATTATTTAAGTTTTCAAGCCAAAATATTTTTTATTGGCATCTTCAATAGTCAGGTAAGTGTGTTTAATTTCTATTTATACAATTCTAATCAAATTATCTTTCTATTAGATCAATGTTTACATGGGGACTTGTGGATGGGGACTTGTGAATACAGCCAGGGCACACACTGTGTGTGACAGTCATTTTTTTATGTTTTTTTGGAAATGGCAGATTTTTTATGTGGAGTGACATAAATATTATTTTGATAATAAATTATCAAAACGTACTCAAAAATGATATTTATACATTTAGAAGAAGGTTAGCATATGTTTTACCTAACAAAAATTATAATAAATGTTGATTTCTAGTAGTAAAAGTATAACAAAAAAGAAGATAGCAGTTGCAGGCTAGTTTACAAGGTTTAGTAAAGTGTATCTGCATGCCCCAGTCTAGTTCTAGTAGTAAGATTTGTTTGTTACATGTGTTGAGAAAATTGTCTAGTTCTAGTAGTAAGATTTGTTTGTTACATGTGTTGAGAAAATTGTCTAGTTCTAGCAGTAAGATTTGTTTGTTACATGTGTTGAGAAAATTGTCTAGTTCTAGTAGTAAGATTTGTTTGTTACATGTGTTGAGAAAATTGTCTAGTTCTAGTAGTAAGATTTGTTTGTTACATGTGTTGAGAAAATTGTCTAGTTCTAGTAGTAAGATTTGTTTGTTACATGTGTTGAGAAAATTGTCTAGTTCTAGTAGTAAGATTTGTTTGTTACATGTGTTGAGAAAATTGTCTAGTTCTAGTAGTAAGATTTGTTTGTTACATGTGTTGAGAAAATTGTCTAGTTCTAGTAGTAAGATTTGTTTGTTACATGTGTTGAGAAAATTGTCTAGCTCTAGCAGTAAGATTTGTTTGTTACATGTGTTGAGAAAATTGTCTAGTTCTAGTAGTAAGATTTGTTTGTTACATGTGTTGAGAAAATTGTCTACTTCTAGTAGTAAGATTTGTTACATGTGTTGAGAAAATTGTCTAGTTCTAGCAGTAAGATTTGTTTGTTACATGTGTTGAGAAAATTGTCTAGTTCTAGCAGTAAGATTTGTTTGTTACATGTGTTGAGAAAATTGTCTAGCTCTAGTAGTAAGATTTGTTTGTTACATGTGTTGAGAAAATTGTCTAGTTCTAGCAGTAAGATTTGTTTGTTACATGTGTTGAGAAAATTGTCTAGTTCTAGTAGTAAGATTTGTTTGTTACATGTGTTGAGAAAATTGTCTACTTCTAGTAGTAAGATTTGTTTGTTACATGTGTTGAGAAAATTGTCTAGTTCTAGCAGTAAGATTTGTTTGTTACATGTGTTGAGAAAATTGTCTAGTTCTAGTAGTAAGATTTGTTTGTTACATGTATTGAGAAAATTGTCTAGTTCTAGTAGTAAGATTTGTTTGTTACATGTGTTGAGAAAATTGTCTTGTTCTTGTAGTAAGATTTGTTTGTTACATGTGTTGAGAAAATTGTCTTGTTCTAGTAGTAAGGTTTGTTTGTTACATGTGTTGAGAAAATTGTCTTGTTCTTGTAGTAAGATTTGTTTGTTACATGTGTTGAGAAAATTGTCTTGTTCTAGTAGTAAGGTTTGTTTGTTACATGTGTTGAGAAAATTGTCTTGTTCTTGTAGTAAGATTTGTTTGTTACATGTGTTGAGAAAATTGTCTTGTTCTAGTAGTAAGGTTTGTTTGTTACATGTGTTGAGAAAATTGTCTTGTTCTTGTAGTAAGATTTGTTTGTTACATGTGTTGAGAAAATTGTCTTGTTCTAGTAGTAAGGTTTGTTTGTTACATGTGTTGAGAAAATTGTCTAGTTCTAGCAGTAAGATTTGTTTGTTACATGTGTTGAGAAAATTGTCTAGTTCTAGTAGTAAGGTTTGTTTGTTACATGTGTTGAGAAAATTGTCTTGTTCTAATTGTAAGATTTGTTTGTTACATGTGTTGAGAAAATTGTCTAGTTCTAGCAGTAAGATTTGTTTGTTACATGTGTTGAGAAAATTGTCTAGTTCTAGTAGTAAGATTTGTTTGTTACATGTGTTGAGAAAATTGTCTAGTTCTAGCAGTAAGATTTGTTTGTTACATGTGTTGAGAAAATTGTCTTGTTCTAGTTGTAAGGTTTGTTTGTTACATGTGTTGAGAAAATTGTCTAGTTCTAGTAGTAAGATTTGTTTGTTACATGTATTGAGAAAATTGTCTTGTTCTTGTAGTAAGATTTGTTTGTTACATGTGTTGAGAAAATTGTCTAGTTCTAGTAGTAAGATTTGTTTGTTACATGTGTTGAGAAAATTGTCTAGTTCTAGCAGTAAGATTTGTTTGTTACATGTGTTGAGAAAATTGTCTAGTTCTAGCAGTAAGATTTGTTTGTTACATGTGTTGAGAAAATTGTCTTGTCCGTAATGGGTAACTGTGGACTATTAATAGTTCATACTTCTGCATATATCTTTATAGTGAATTTTTATCAGTAGACTTACAACAGTAGACTTACAACAGTAGACTTACAATAGTAGACTTACAACAGTAGACTTACAACAGTAGACTTACAATAGTAGACTTACAACAGTAGACTTACAACAGTAGACTTACAACAGTAGACTTACAACAGTAGACTTACAACAGTAGACTTACAACAGTAGACTTACAACAGTAGACTTACAACAGTAGACTTACAACAGTAGACTTACAACAGTAGACTTACAACAGTAGACTCACAACAGTAGACTCACAACAGTAGACTTACAACAGTAGACTTACAACAGTAGACTTACAACAGTAGACTTACAACAGTAGACTTACAACAGTAGACTTACAACAGTAGACTTACAACAGTAGACTTACAACAGTAACTTACAACAGTAAGCCACAAAGTTTATTCTAAACTCATGTAGCTCACTTCTATTATGAATTTTAAACTGTAGTGTAGACCTGTCATAACATTCTAGTAGGCTACAATCATACTAGTATTACTAGCAGTAGTGTACTGAATGACTAGGCTTTCATTTTCAAAATATTTGTATATGCGGTTCGTTATAATTACTATTGAAAGCTTCCAGCAAAAGCAGGTTCAGTCTGGCAACTGTTACCACACCAGAAAGACGACAGACGAGAATGTTTCGCTAACATTAAATGAGTAGGACATCTCAACACCTTTTGCTGTTTGGTACAGTCAAAAGAAGGTCTAAGATGTGTTCCCATAGAAAATCCAGTAAAAATCATACTTAAAATTTACTTTTGTGTTGTGTTTATATGTGAAAATTACAAAAATGATTGCCATGTTATTAGTTAATAAATTGTATAGTTTGTTCCTGTTTTTTACATTTTTTATTTTTTGGAAAAAATGTCCAACATTCCTGAAGGTACTTATAAGTATCAATATAAATTTGGGCCATAGAAAATCTATCAATATAAATTTGGGCCATAGAAAATCTACCAATATAAATTTCCTGCGACCTATGCTCTAAGTGTGCCAAAAGCAACATAATAAAACATTTAAATTTCAGTCGACCTATGCCCTAAGTGTGCCAAAAGCAATATAATAAAACATTTAAATTTCCTGCGACCTATGACCTAAGTGTGCCAAAAGCAACATAATAAATTTAATTTCCTTCGACCTATGACCTATGACCTAAGTGTGCCAAAAGCAATATAATAAAACATTTAAATTTCCTGCGACCTATGACCTAAGTGTGCCAAAAGCAACATAATAAATTTAATTTCCTTCGACCTATGACCTATGACCTAAGTGTGCCAAAAGCAATATAATAAAACATTTAAATTTCATGCGACCTATGACCTAAGTGATAAAACATGTTGTCCCCCACCAGACAAGTCCTCCCGCGCTGGCAGCTCCACCGTCATTACCAGGCTCTGGCCAAAGTCCCGCAGGCCGTCATGGGTTCTGTCCCTTACACAGATGATTTCCACACTGTCCAGTCTGCCCTGACTAAAGGAAAACATTTCGGGCAAATATTTGGCTGAATGACAGGAACATCATGACATGCACATCACATCAACATCACAACATTTCAGTCTGTTGGCTTAGGGCAAATATTTGACTGAATGACAGGAACATCATGACATGCACATCACATCACATCACAACATTTCAGTCTGTTGGCTTAGGGCAAATATTTGACAGGAACATCATGACATGCACATCACATCAACATCATGACATGAGCATCACATCAACATCACAACATGCGCATCACATCAACATCACAACATGAACATGTTGACATCAACATCGTGACATGAGCATTGTGACATCAACATTATGACAAGAACTCACTATCTGTACGAGAGAAATGTTATCAGGTTCCTGATTGGCCAGCCAGGGTATCCATCGAGTGAGCTTGGGTCACACACTCCCACCATCATCTATAGGAACAACATCACCATGTTTAAACAACATCTATAGGAACAACATCACCATGTTTAAACAACATCTATAGGAACAACATCACCATGTTTAAACAACATCTATAGGAACAACATCACCATGTTTAAACAACACCATCATCTATAGGAACAACATCACCATGTTTAAACAACATCTATAGGAACAACATCACCATGTTTAAACAACATCTATAGGAACAACATCACCATGTTTAAACAACACCATCCTCTATAGGAACAACATCACCATGTTTAAACAACATCTATAGGAACAACATCACCATGTTTAAACAACATCTATAGGAACAACATCACCATGTTTAAACAACATCTATAGGAACAACATCACCATGTTTAAACAACATCTATAGGAACAACATCACCATGTTTAAACAACATCTATATGAACAACATCACCATGTTTAAACAACATCTATAGGAACAACATCACCATGTTTAAACAACATCTATAGGAACAACATCACCATGTTTAAACAACATCTATAGGAACAACATCACCATGTTTAAACAACACCATCATCTATAGGAACAACATCACCATGTTTAAACAACACCATCATCTATAGGAACAACATCACCATGTTTAAACAACAACATCACCATATTTAAACAACACCATCATCTATAGAAACAACATCACCATGTTTAAACAACACCATCCTTTATAGGAACAACATCACCATGTTTAAACAACACCATCATCTATAGGAACAACATCACCATGTTTGAACAACATCTATAGGAACAACATCACCATGTTTAAACAACATCTATAGGAACAACATCACCATGTTTAAACAACATCTATAGGAACAACATCACCATGTTTAAACAACATCTATAGGAACAACATCACCATGTTTAAACAACACCATCATCTATAGGAACAACATCACCATGTTTAAACAACAACATCATCTATAGAAACAACATCACCATGTTTAAACAACACCATCCTCTATAGGAACAACATCACCATATTTAAACAACACCATCATCTATAGAAACAACATCACCATGTTTAAACAACACCATCCTCTATAGGAACAACATCACCATGTTTAAACAACACCATCATCTATAGGAACAACATCACCATGTTAAAACAACACCATCATCTATCGGAACAACATCACCATGTTTAAACAACACCATCATCTATAGGAACAACATCACCATGTTTAAACAACACCATCATCTATAGGAACAACATCACCATGTTTAAACAACATCATCATCTATAGGAACAACATCACCATGTTTAAACAACACCATCATCTATAGGAACAACATCACCATGTTTAAACAACACCATCATCTATAGGAACAACATCACCATGTTTAAACAACACCATCATCTATAGGAACAACATCACCATGTTTAAACAACACCATCCTCTATAGGAACAACATCACCATGTTTAAACAACATCATCATCTATAGGAACAACATCACCATGTTTAAACAACACCATCATCTATAGGAACAACATCACCATGTTTAAACAACATCTATAGGAACAACATCACCATGTTTAAACAACACCATCATCTATAGGAACAACATCACCATGTTTAAACAACACCATCATCTATAGGAACAACATCACCATGTTTAAACAACATCTATAGGAACAACATCACCATGTTTAAACAACATCTATAGGAACAACATCACCATGTTTAAACAACACCATCATCTATAGGAACAACATCACCATGTTTAAACAACACCATCATCTATAGGAACAACATCACCATGTTTAAACAACATCTATAGGAACAACATCACCATGTTTAAACAACACCATCATCTATAGGAACAACATCACCATGTTTAAACAACACCATCATCTATAGGAACAACATCACCATGTTTAAACAACATCATCATCTATAGGAACAACATCACCATGTTTAAACAACACCATCATCTATAGGAACAACATCACCATGTTTAAACAACACCATCATCTATAGGAACAACATCACCATGTTTAAACAACACCATCATCTATAGGAACAACATCACCATGTTTAAACAACACCATCCTCTATAGGAACAACATCACCATGTTTAAACAACATCATCATCTATAGGAACAACATCACCATGTTTAAACAACACCATCATCTATAGGAACAACATCACCATGTTTAAACAACATCTATAGGAACAACATCACCATGTTTAAACAACACCATCATCTATAGGAACAACATCACCATGTTTAAACAACACCATCATCTATAGGAACAACATCACCATGTTTAAACAACATCTATAGGAACAACATCACCATGTTTAAACAACATCTATAGGAACAACATCACCATGTTTAAACAACACCATCATCTATAGGAACAACATCACCATGTTTAAACAACACCATCATCTATAGGAACAACATCACCATGTTTAAACAACACCATCATCTATAGGAACAACATCACCATGTTTAAACAACATCTATAGGAACAACATCACCATGTTTAAACAACATCTATAGGAACAACATCACCATGTTTAAACAACACCATCATCTATAGGAACAACATCACCATGTTTAAACAACACCATCATCTATAGGAACAACATCACCATGTTTAAACAACATCTATAGGAACAACATCACCATGTTTAAACAACACCATCATCTATAGGAACAACATCACCATGTTTAAACAACATCTATAGGAACAACATCACCATGTTTAAACAACACCATCCTCTATAGGAACAACATCACCATGTTTAAACAACATCTATAGGAACAACATCACCATGTTTAAACAACATCTATAGGAACAACATCACCATGTTTAAACAACACCATCATCTATAGGAACAACATCACCATGTTTGAACAACACCACATTTTCAGATCTAAAAACATATAGAGTGACATACAGGTGTAGACCGACAGAGTGACATACAAGTGTAGACAGATAGAATGACATACAGGTGTAGAGAGATAGAATGACATACAGGTGTAGACAGATAGAGTAACATACAGGTGTAGACAGATAGAGTAACATACAGGTGTAGACAGATAGAGTGACATACAAGTGTAGACAGATAGAGTGACATACAAGTGTAGACAGATAGAGTGACATACAAGTGTAGACAAATACCTTTGCTGATTCCGCAACCAGCTCTTCAATGTGAGAAAACTCTAAAATCCTGAAACTGTCACCACAGTCTTGTAAGATAAAGAAAGTAGCATAACTCTGGCGACTTGATTGAAATGTATCGTATGAACAAATCAGTGAGGCTACCTAAGTAGGAAAGTTTGTATGAGACTTTTTTTCTAAAGCTCTCAAATTAGGAGAAAATGCATTTAAAGAACCTCCTGACATAATTGAGAAGGTAAAATATTTTCATCCCACAGATTCTAAAAACTAAAAAAAAAATTTTTATAACTTGGAAAATCACATGGGTCACAGAGTCAACTTTGAGAGGGAGCTGCTGAAGAGGGCCAGTGGCTGAATCTTTGCTCTTTGCTTAAACCCACCCCCACAAGTCTAACCTGACCAATCAACTCCCACAAATTAACCTCATCAAAGAGCCTGTGACAAAGGGACCCCATCAAAACAGCTCCTGATAATCTGCAAGGAACAAAAACTTAAAGGCTTCTCATGGAGCTCTGATTATTGTCAAGTGCCTTTCATTGGGAGCCCTTTTGTCCTGGCTATTTTGATGGTGCATCTTTTGACAAATATTATAACAACAGCTGGATTAAAATCAGGATGCCTTTGACACCTGCTATTAAAATTGAATTGACTTGGCCAATGCTTACCTTGTCAGGTGAGTACTTCTCTAGTAAACACACAGGTGCTTGACTGTACAAACTTTTCTCTGGAAACTTAAAGGCTGGAAAGGCAAACCAATAGTAGTAGTGGTATTTTTTTAAGTCCTGGGGAATATACATTTTAAGTCCTGGGGAATATACATTTTAAGTCCTGGGGAATATACATTTTAAGTCCTGGGGAATATACATTTTAAGTTAGAGAATTTACTTGCCTCTAGAATACACACAATATGACAAATATTAAACCCATACACCACACATACTCAGCGCAATCACTGACAGATGTGACACTTACAGCAAATGTGAGCAGAATAAACTGACAAAGTTGTTCAGGATCCTGCAGCACTGACCCATTCTTCATGTCCTCCCACATCTAGACAAAAACTGGTGTTAGCCTGGGTTGCATTTTTTTTTTTTGACAAAATATTTGTATTTCAAATTTTAATTAAAGAAATAATCTAAACTACTTGACCTTCTTGCCAAGCGAGGTTATGAGTAGCTTTTTGTCAGTCTCTTTAAATTTCTCAATGGTGTTTGTGTTGTGCAGAGTCCCAAGGGCAGAGAAATGGTGGCTTGGTGGGCGCCAGTCACTGGGGGTGGGACAAAGTGTTTCAACAACAGGACGATGTTTACAGCAAAAAATAACTTCAATGAGAGTACTAGTGTCAGCAGTCACAGAAGAAATACCAACATACCTATTAAAAGCTGAATAATCCACTGTAATCTGTGGGGAAATTCCTGGAGCACTCCCTTTTTTAAAAAAAAAATATGCTTCAAACTGAGCTATTTGTGAAAACAATGAATCGACTCAAAATATCAACAGAAAAGAGTTTTAGAGTTTTAAATAAACAAAACAAGTAGGCTTCAGTTGAGTACCAACTACCACATGACATTGCATGGCATGTCATATGCCGAGTCATATGACATAATAATGATAATATGCCATATTGAAAGGCCAGTGAACCATGCAGATTCAACAATCACAAAGAGTAAAAGGGCTAAGCCTAAGATTTTTTTTTTAGAATTAATTATATTTCATACTAAATCTAGAGTCTAGAACTAATCTAGAGTCGAGAAGATTTTAGAATAAGTCGGAATTACCATTGGTGAAAAAGCCGTGGATTGATTTCTGACTTTCGTCAAGACCATATTCATTCAGTTTCTTTTCTGTCAGCTTTTGCCAGAAACCTGGGTCAACGGAGCTTGCAAACGGTGCAAACTGAACATTCGTCATTATTTATTTTGAAATCTAATAGTAATAGGCCTACTAATTAATACTTTTAAATCGATTTAGGCCTTAGGCTAGTCTAGATTTTTTGAGTTGTTTAGTTTAAATTTTAAATGTTTAAATTTATAAATTAACAACTTATTACTTAAGTAAGTAGTAAGTAACTATTATTATAGGCCTATCTATACTATACTAGTAGTAATTACTAATTTAACTAATTTCACTTTTACTCATCATTAGTAAGCTACACTGAACTCACTCTACTACTCTACTACACTACACTCTTCTAGTCTTCTACAGATCGATTCTATTTTATTAATATATTGTAGAGCTACTTTTTATTAAAACTTTCAGTCTAGGTCAAAATTAAACAGTTGTATCAAATACTAAAAATAAACTAGATTCTAGATCTATCTGAGTCTTCCATAGATCTATTTCTGTGAGCGTAAATCAGGCAGTTCAACAAATAATAAATCCAAGCATCCTCCTTTCGATATCGCTGGGAGTTGTTTTCATCATGTGACTGTTTGAAACTAGTTCCGGGTCAGACAGTGTTGCTAGCCTAGCCTAGAAATTTAATGTGTGGGCTACTTTGGCTTGGTGTGGGACAAAAGGCCGACAACCAAAAGACCGACACAACAAAAGAAAAGAAAAATCTAACATCGCAAAATATGGGTTACTCCGAGAAACGATGCTAGCTGCTACACGTATACAGATGCGTGAGAATGGGTCTGGCGGCCTAAAGATATTCAGAAGCACACAGACCAAGCAGAGGCGTAGCGACTCCTCCCAGCGCCCGGGGCGAACTTTCATTTTGGCGCCCCCCATATATATATATATATATATATATATATATATATATATATATATATATATATATATATATATATATATATAGGGCCTATATATATATATATATGTGTGTGTGTATGTATATATATATATATATATATATATATATATATATATATATATATATAGGGCCTATATATATATATGTGTGTGTGTGTGTTTGTGTGTGCAACAGTCCGGAAAAAAATTAATAATTACGATGTATGATTGTCGTTCCCTAAAAATGCTACTCGACGCCAATTAAATTTCCCTTAAGATGCATTATCCTTTAAAAACTGATTAGTAATGTCAGAAAAAATAAACCTCATCTTAATTTAGAGGGGAGGTCGTAGCAGGTGATAGTTCGTTTAGGACAGTCTTTTTATGTTTTATTTTTGGAAAAGTCTCTATTATGGCATGTTGCATTGTTGGATTATATGTTTGTTAGATTAAGGTCATACAATTGACATACAATAGCAAATTATTGTGCACATTGGAATACGGAATGGGTATTTCGTTGACTGGTTGAATGAATAATGAAACAAGCTAGAGGAAACAAACTGAAATCCAACGGACACAACAGCTCGAAGTCTTGGATTTATCAGATGCGCACTGCCTTCTCGCACACAGTCAACAACAAATGCAGAACTAATTGTACCGGTTGAAGAAGCTGTGTAATAACCAGTTTAATGATAGTGGCACCGCCAATAACGTTCAGATTAGAATCAGCAGCGATGAAATGCGTTTTAACATTCTAATCCAATGTGGTTTTTTTAATACCGTAAGGATCACTAAATTAAGTCTTTTATTGATTATTAATTAAAGTGAATGGCAGAAACATTCAAATTATATAGTCTCAATCAATAGTATCACTTGTTACAACAAGTAGAACTTTTATGGCATTTAGAATTACATAGTAGCTTGTTATTTTTACACTTGCAGCGCTTTGTTGTGCATTTGGTTGTGCAATTGCAGCAAATGTAGCCTTGACCGCCGGTCAGTGATTGTGAAGATGCGATGGTTCGTAGTGATTTTTCCTCACTGTCAAAGGGCGACAATGAGAGCAGTTTTTCGTGAAGAATTGAAAACACACTTCTAGCATATTATAGTTGTTTTAGAACACCATGATGCCTGGAAGAAACTCTGATCTCCCACTTCAGCTTGTTTAAAATGTGTATCTGATTTTTTTTAGCGTCTTGCCACTTTGAGTTTGCAAGTTAGCATGAGATGCTGACCTGTTGTCCATAATTTCTTGTTTATTGTGACATAATCTGCAGGTAATGTTCCTTCCGTAACCGTCGTCTGCTTCATTGGCTACTCCGCATGTTGCATGGACATCGTTGCCACATAATCCACAAGAATGGGCTGCACTATAATATCTTTCACAAACTACACATAATCTATTGGCCATATTATTGTCATGTTTTTCACAAATTGAATAAGTTTGAGACTCTCAGCCCAATGAGCTGATTCATTTGTTTGCATCCATGTCATCATCATATTTTGAACCTCTTAGTTGGCACGTTCTAATGAATCTTGGTTTTGGCTATGCCTTGGATTTCCGTGAACTAGTTTAAGTTCAGACCACATGTTCTTTAGTTCACAAATTTTCTTCCATTAGGATTTGGATTATTTATTTTGGGCAGCCATCTGGTATGTCTGTCACTTAGTCTGACGGCCCTTTTGGTCCATGTCGCATGACATATAGAATGCTATACAAACAATACATTACTCACAATGAAACCGCACCCAGAATAATGAAAACGCGATCACAACTTAGTCTAGATAGGACATCCCGGCCAGTGCGCGCATTGGCTGGCCAATGCATGAAATACTTTGTCAATTTTTAACTTTTCGGACTTTGGCCATCACGTCCCGGCCAGTGCGTGCATTGGCCGGCCAATGTAGGAAATACGCTGTCAAATTAAATGTCTTCGGACTTTGGCCAGTACGTACAGGCCGGTGCGCGCATTGGCCGGCCAATGTACGAAATACGCTTTCAATGTTAAGCTCTTGGGGCTTTGGCCAAGACAGCCGGCCAATGCGCACATTGGCCGGCCAATGCGGGCTTTAGCCGGCCAGTGCGGGCTTTGACCGTAATATATATATATATATATATATATATATATATATATATATATATATATATATATATATATATATATATATATATATATATATATATATATATATACATGGCATATATCAAGGGCTATATATATTTTAACACCTTCATCCCACCCCACTGTGACCAGTTTTATGGCATAACCTTCCCATCGGGAGGGGGACTTTTTTTTTTTTTTTTTTTTTTGTTTATTAAAAATCTAGTGGTAACGGATGCTTTAATTATCACGTGACTTGCTGGACGTCACAAAATGGCGTTTCTAATATTTGGACCAAACTCAGTCATAAATAAAAAATAATGAAAAAATGCTCTGCCTTTATGAAATTAATTGTTTTTTTCTGTTTTTAAAAATGTATACATAACAAAGAGCGTTAAGTTAAATAACAGTCGTTTTTTTTACCTTAATAATCGTTTGCCTAGTGATATTGGAGACACGCGGTAAGTGGTTGACAAGCGTTGTCAATGGACGCCATCGCCATTATTATCTCTCATTCGTTGTGGTATATATTAAATTTCTTATTTACCCTTTTGTCTCGTGTACTTGAATAGTAATAGATCTAGATCTATATTATAAATAGATAGTGATAGTATATTAAAAAATTCACACAGGCTAGCTTTACCTATCCTACCATTACATGTCATCACAAAAAGCCAAATTTTGAATAGGAATAATTAATAATTAATTAATAATTAAAATTATTAGGCCCTACTAATTGTAATAATGGACACCAGCGAGTTGACGAGATTCCTTCCATAATGTTGTTGACATGGAATTAAAATGTGCTTTTTAGATTTAGACTGTAAAAAAGAATAAAAAATAAAAACTTAAGCCTAAAATTAAAATTAATTTAGAAATTTTATATTTTTAGAATAAATGCTATAAAAGTTGCAAAAGTTAATTTCTTGCCTATATTGATATATTTAGCCATTGATTTAGGTTTATTATTAATTTATGTATAATATTTGACACAAATATATCACAATATTCAATATACTTCTATTAAAGCCTTGACAATGAGGAAACTGTTTCGTACATTACTAGCAGCGGGCGATTTTACGTACCTAAAACGATAGATTACCTAATAATAATATTAATTATTAATTATTATTCCTATACTATAATATTTGGCTGTTTGTGAGGACATATCACTCAACTCTCCCCACCTTCCAAAATTGTCACAATTCTGAGTGACAAGTAGGCTAATACTTAAAAAACAGCTGATCAGAATCATTTAGTTATAATAGTATTATTAAAAAAATCATGTAATATACTTTCAGATTCCAATGTAATCTAAAATAAGCAACGATGCTTAAAACAAGAACTATTAGCAGAAGAACAAAAGCTCGAAGGATTCTAGAAGAGTATAAAATTTTATTGGGCACAGAACATCATCATGGGTAATCTGATCCTTCGCTTCAAAGATAAGGATGATGCCTGGAAACAGCAGAATAAAGAAATGGATGAGAATCCTGCCTACAGGTTTGCCAACTTCGGGAAGGGTGGAGTCCTTATCGAAGCTTACAACCAGTATGGCCCTGATAGAGTACGAGAGATAGCTCGAAACGAGATGTCCAAGTTTTTTTATTTTGAGGATGGCAAGAAGCATTGCATCACTAGGGAAGAATTTTTTTCTTGGCAAAGAAAGCTTCATTGCAGAATAGCAGTAAGACTTAGAATGTTGTTTATTATTTTTGTTTTTAATTATGCACTTTAGCTGTGTATCATGTTTTCTTATCTTTAGAGATCCTAATTCTAATGTCATTGCAGGGTGTAGATGAAAACCAGAAATTTGTTGAAGAAGAATCAGAAAAAGAGTTTATTCCCCATGAGGCATGCTGGGACCTCAACAAAAGGGGCGGGGTTGGCGAGACTCCATTCCACTTACTTTACCTCAATGACTCACCCGTTCATTTTGAAGTGGCCAAGATCCTTCTCCAGCTGTACCCTAACCTGGCCCTTGATGTTTACGAAGGAGAAGAGTATTATGGTAGGTAGCTTTTATTGATGGTATCATGTGGGGGGCCTTACTCGTGGTGTTGTGTGGAGGGGGGGGGGGGGGAACGTACTGTGTCTTATAGGAGGGGGGGGTACTTATGGTGTCTTGTGTGAGGGGGGGGGGACTTATGGTGTCTTGTGTGAGGGGGGGGACTTATGGTGTCTTGTGGGAGGGGGGGGACTTATGGTGTCTTGTGTGAGGGGGGGGGGGCTTATGGTGTCTTGTGGGAGGGGGGGACTTATTGTGTCTTGTGGGAGGGGGGGGGGCTTATGGTATCTTGTGTGAGGGGGGGGGGAACTTATGGTATCTTGTGGGAGGGGGGGGGGGGCTTATGGTGTCTTGTGGAAGGGGGGGGACTTATTGTGTCTTGTGGGAGGGGGGGGCTTATGGTGTCTTGTGGGAGGGGGGGACTTATGGTGTCTTGTGTGAGGGGGGGGGGACTTATGGTGTCTTGTGTGACGGGGGGGGGACTTATGGTGTCTTGTGTGAGGGGGGGGGAACTTATGGTGTCTTGTGTGAGGGGGGGGGACTTATGGTGTCTTGTGTGAGGGGGGGGGACTTATGGTGTCTTGTGTGAGGGGGGGGGGACTTATGGTGTCTTGTGGGAGGATTATTGACAGTGTCATGATTGATGATGACATAACGAACTGTCCCCTGGCAGGTGAAAGTGCCTTGCATATTGCCATTGTTGTTGGGGACTTTGATTCTGTGCAGCTGTTGGTGGAGTCTGGTGCTAATGTCAATCAGCGAGCCACTGGCAGATTTTTCCTGCCAGAGGACCAGAAGAAAGGAGCCACAGAGAACACAGACTATGACGGTCAGTTTATTCCCCTTTATCTAAGATGGTCAATTAATGCTCATTATTTAAAATGTTGGGTTATTCCCCTTTATCTAAATAGAAATATCATCACTAGCCTACTTTGGTTAAGATTTGCTACATTTACTTAAATATTAGGGTATGCCTACTTTGGTTAAGATTTGCTACATTTACTTAAATATTAGGGTATGCCTACTTTGGGGAATATCCGTTGGCTTTTGCTGCCAGCCTGGGTAACACTGACGTCTACGATTATCTCCTGGAACATGGAGCTGACCCTAACCTTCAGGACTCATTTGGGAACACAATACTTCACATGGTGGTCATTGCTGACCAGCGCGTGAGTGGACAGCATTTTTAAACTCTTTGTATGCCCCAGTTCAAGTTCATTATTCAAATAATTGTATGCGCCAGTTCAAGTTCATTATTTAAATAATTGTATGCCCCAGTTCAAGTTCATTATTTAAATAATTGTATGCCCCAGTTCAAGTTAATTTTTTAAAATGATTTCTATGGTTCAAGTTAATGTACAATAGTAGGTTGCCCACTGCTATTTTTAGATTAGTATTTTTATGCCTGCAATCTACATAATAGATTTTGGGACATGTACTTACTATTTATACAATGTTGGACATGTATATCTCTGAACTATTTATTCTATCTGTTTTACTATTTATACTTTTTAGGATATGTATCGCTATGCTGTGAGACACCATAAAATCAAAGCCATCACTAGCATTAAAAACAAACAGAATTTAACTCCCCTTACCTTAGCTTGCAAGCTGGGCCGACACTCTATTTTCAAAGTTATGTTAGATCTGGATAGCGTTGTAAGTTTGTTTTAATTCTACTTGTGTTTTTTTTTCTGTTTTATTTGATCTGCCATTGCATGTCCCATTTACTTGACCTTTTTGCAAATCTGCATTTACTTTAAAAAGTTCGAGATGCGTAGTACAAAACTGGCTGTGAACTTGTCTAAAAATGTTAGAAGTTAGTTTCACTTTTAAGAGTTGTGTTTAACCAAGTTTCTGCATGCTCTTACAGGAACTGTGGAGGTTTAGTACCACTATGTGCTCTGTTCATCCCCTCAACACTTTAGATTCCATTGCAGCAGATGGCAGCACCAGTAAGTCAAAGCCAGCGGACATCTTGTTTTATTCTTGTAGCTCTGATTGTTTTATTCTTGTATGTATTCTTGTCAAACCTTGAGATCTAACATTTATGTAGGCCTACTAAACAAATGTGTCAACAGAGTCTAAATACTGCTGAGGAAAATTATTTGTGTTTTCAAATTTTTATTCTATTGTTTCTTTCTTTAAACATAGAAGAAAACATATTTAGTGTTCAGTGAAATCTGCAAGGTGATTTTACATTTTCCTAAATTATCAAGTTCTGATTTTATTTTAAATAAACATGCACAAGTCTAATTTAAAAGGTTGCTAGACAGAAAATGTACAAATATGTACTCAACTAAAGGGCTCAATAACTGTTGTTTTTGGTTACTATTAATAGAAATTAGTTAACAAAAAGCAAAATAAAAGGTTTTAAATAATTGATTAAATGAAAAGAGATGTCTTACATTAGTTTCGGTTAAAGTGTGTCGTTTTTTTTATTCTGGTCAAATTTGATCTGGATCAGCTGTCTCACTTTGGTTCAGTTGAGTTGATTTAGCATTGAATACAAGTGATCTACTTTACTTGTGTCAGCTGACTCACTTTGGTTCAGTTGAGTTGATTTAGCATTGAATACAAGTGATCTACTTTACTTGTGTCAGCTGACTCACTTTGGTTCAGTTGAGTTGATTTAGCATTGAATACAAGTGATCTACTTTACTTGTGTTGGCTGACTCACTTTGGTCCAGTTGAGTTGATTTAGCATTGAATACAAGTGATCTACTTTACTTGTGTGGGCTGACTCACTTTGGTTCAGTTGAGTTGATTTAGCATTGAATTCAAGTGATCTACTTTACTTGTGTGGGCTGACTCACTTTGGTTCAGTTGAGTTGATTTAGCATTGAATACAAGTGATCTACTTTACTTGTGTGGGCTGACTCACTTTGGTTCAGTTGAGTTGATTTAGCATTGAATTCAAGTGATCTACTTTACTTGTGTCAGCTGACTCACTTTGGTTCAGTTGAGTTGATTTAGCATTGAATTCAAGTGATCTACTTTACTTGTGTCAGCTGTCTCACTTTGGTTCAGTTGAGTTGATTTAGCATTGAATTCAAGTGATCTACTTTAAGATTGGAACTCAGCTCTGATGATAATTGTGAATGGTGAGAAGGAGGAACACCTGGAGATGCTGGAGGGAGGCGTCATGAGGCAACTGCTCATTGAGAAGTGGAAGACTTTTGCCAGGGTCAGTAACTCCACCTCATTTACAATCACCTACAATCATTCTTACAGTAACCTTCAATCATTTAAATCTTACAGTTTTTTCCAATCATTTAAATCTTACAGTTATTTCCAATCATTTAAATCTTATAGAAACCTTCAATCATTTAAATCTTAAAGCAATATTCAATCATTTAGATGTTGCAAAAACATTTACATTTGGACACGACTTCTAGAAAGTTATGAAATTAGTTTGACACTAAACCAAGTTTCAAATTTGTGTATAGTAAAATTAGATTAAAAATAACCCAAGTTTCAAATTTGTGTATAGCAACGTTTCATCATGCGACTGTGCTTTGCCTCGGTCCACCTGGTGTTGTTTAGTGTGGTCATCTACACCAGACCTTCAGGAGAAAACCTTCTGTCCAGCAGCAGCACGGAGGATGCTGTAGGTCTTTTTTATATCAACTTAAACCACCACATTTGTTATAAACATCCATCAGCTTAAACCACCACATTTTTTAATAAACATCCATCAACTTAAACCACCACATTTTTAATAAACATCCATCAACTTAAACCACCACATTTTTAATAAACATCCATCAACTTAAACCATCCACATTTTTTAATAAACATTCATCAACTTAAACCACCACATTTTTTAATAAACATCCATCAACTAAACCGCCAAATATTATAATTAATATCCATTAATTAAACCACAAAATAAAATCAATCTATATCCATAATGAACTTTATTTTTAAAAAGATTTTATTTTTATTTTGCTAAGCTATAAATAAAAGTAAATTTGTATAAGGAGTTTATAAGATTTATGTTCTATAAAAATGAGTCAAGATATAGATTTCTGTTGTCTGTTACCTTCTCATGAGTTGAGTATTGAATGAGCAGGTACGCCTAGCCTCGGAAGTCATTGTTTGTCTCAGCTGTTTAGCCACGGTGGTCTCAGAACTGATGGAGATAAGCACACAAGGCTTGCGGACTTTCTTCAAAAACTTGGTCAGTTACATTTCTGTATCACACAGGGTTTTTTTTTTTAGCCAATTTTTTATGTGAATTGTGACCCTTAGTTTTAAAATGTGTAAAATTGTTCATCAATAATAAATTGTTGCAGCATTACTAGGTTTTAAACAAAATTGTTAATCATAAAAAACATTAGCATAAGATTTTAAACAAAATAATTAATCATAAAAACATAAGCATTAGGTTTTAAACAAAATTATGAATCATAAAAAACATTAGCATAAGATTTTAAACAAAATAATTAATCATAAAAAACATTAGCATAAGATTTTAATAATTAACACAATTATTAATCATAAAAAACATTAGCATAAGATTTTAACTAGATATCTGTTTAGTTACAAAATTCTTGTAGATGAAATTTTTGTTTTGAAGCCAACATTTTATTAGCTGCAATAACCTAATTAGTTAAACAAATGGATGAAATTTAAAAGTTTTAAAATTGTTGTTTGAACTAGAGTTCAGTGAAATATTGAAGTTGTCTCTCCTGTTTTTCTATGTGAAGGTACTGCAGCTCCATAAGGTAGTCATTTTCTAGTCTCTTTCTTTCTATTGGCACTTGCTTTTGTATTTTCTAACACCATTTTGGGAGAGTAGGTCTAACCTTTGATTTCTCTTTTTTTTATTTTTTTTTGTTGAAATATTGACAGAATAAATAAATATTTTGTTTCTAAGCCTAAAATTTGTAACTTCTCACTTGAGATGACTTTTGAAATAGTGTAACTTTAAAAATGTAGCCAGAGAATTCAACCGTTGGCACCACAAATCTCAAGGACTGAGACAAATTAGTTTTTAGTTATACTTTTTTGCAAGGATTAGAATGCTTACCTTTCACAAAATAATCAGTGAACTTGCTAAATTTTTTAGAATTTTCTTGAAAAAAATTGAATAGAATTTTTAAAAATTGAAAATAAGAGCTTAATCTACTTTAAAAATGCATATTTAAATTTTCTGTCAAATTATTTTCAAATTATTTCTGTTTCAAATTTATTCCAAAAATATTCATTGCAAAGGAAGATTGTAAATAAAGTTTCCAGTAAAAAAACTATATCAGTCTAGTAGGTAGACATTGTACTAAAGACAAGCTCAAGTTACACTATAGTGGCATTCTACTTATTTTCTTGTGTGCAGGCCTTTGATAAACCTATGATTAATATTTGGTTGTCCTACCAATCATAACTGACATGCATAGGGTTCAAATATAACAGGTTTATCTGATTCCCATAAAACAGACCTACCAATCATAACTGACATGCATAGGGTTTAAATATAACAGGTTTATCTGATTCCCATAAAACAGACCTACCAATCATAACTGACATGCATAGGGTTCAAATATAACATGTTTATCTGATTCCCATAAAACAGACCTACCAATCATAACTGACATGCATAGGGTTCAAATATAACAGGTTTATCTGATTCCCATAGGGTTCAAATATAACAGGTTTATCTGATTCCCATAGGGTTCAAATATAACAGGTTTATCTGATTCCAATAGGGTTCAAATATAACAGGTTTATCTGATTCCCATAGGGTTCAAATATAACAGGTTTATCTGATTCCCATAGGGTTCAAATATAACAGGTTTATCTGATTCCCATAGGGTTCAAATATAACAGGTTTATCTGATTCCCATAGGGTTCAAATATAACAGGTTTATCTGATTCCCATAGGGTTCAAATATAACAGGTTTATCTGATTCCCATAGGGTTCAAATATAACAGGTTTATCTGATTCCCATAGGGTTCAAATATAACAGGTTTATCTGATTCCCATAGGGTTCAAATATAACAGGTTTATCTGATTCCCATAGGGTTCAAATATAACAGGTTTATCTGATTCCCATAAAACAGACCTACCAATCATAACTGACATGCATAGGGTTCAAATATAACAGGTTTATCTGATTCCCATAGGGTTCAAATATAACAGGTTTATCTGATTCCCATAGGGTTCAAATATAACAGGTTTATCTGATTCCCATAGGGTTCAAATATAACAGGTTTATCTGATTCCCATAGGGTTCAAATATAACAGGTTTATCTGATTCCCATAAAACAGACCTACCAATCATAACTGACATGCATAGGGTTCAAATATAACAGGTTTATCTGATTCCCATAAAACAGACCTACCAATCATAACTGACATGCATAGGGTTCAAATATAACAGGTTTATCTGATTCCCATAAAACAGACCTACCAATCATAACTGACATGCATAGGGTTCAAATATAACAGGTTTATCTGATTCCCATAAAACAGACCTACCAATCATAACTGACATGCATAGGGTTCAAATATAACAGGTTTATCTGATTCCCATAGGGTTCAAATATAACAGGTTTATCTGATTCCCATAAAACAGACCTACCAATCATAACTGACAGGCATAGGGTTCAAATATAACAGGTTTATCTGATTCCCATAAAACAGACCTACCAATCATAACTGACATGCATAGGGTTCAAATATAACAGGTTTATCTGATTCCCATAGGGTTCAAATATAACAGGTTTATCTGATTCCCATAGGGTTCAAATATAACAGGTTTATCTGATTCCCATAGGGTTCAAATATAACAGGTTTATCTGATTCCCATAGGGTTCAAATATAACAGGTTTATCTGATTCCCATAGGGTTCAAATATAACAGGTTTATCTGATTCCCATAGGGTTCAAATATAACAGGTTTATCTGATTCCCATAGGGTTCAAATATAACAGGTTTATCTGATTCCCATAGGGTTCAAATATAACAGGTTTATCTGATTCCCATAGGGTTCAAATATAACAGGTTTATCTGATTCCCATAGGGTTCAAATATAACAGGTTTATCTGATTCCCATAGGGTTCAAATATAACAGGTTTATCTGATTCCCATAGGGTTCAAATATAACAGGTTTATCTGATTCCCATAGGGTTCAAATATAACAGGTTTATCTGATTCCCATAGGGTTCAAATATAACAGGTTTATCTGATTCCCATAGGGTTCAAATATAACAGGTTTATCTGATTCCCATAGGGTTCAAATATAACAGGTTTATCTGATTCCCATAGGGTTCAAATATAACAGGTTTATCTGATTCCCATAGGGTTCAAATATAACAGGTTTATCTGATTCCCATAGGGTTCAAATATAACAGGTTTATCTGATTCCCATAGGGTTCAAATATAACAGGTTTATCTGATTCCCATAGGGTTCAAATATAACAGGTTTATCTGATTCCCATAGGGTTCAAATATAACAGGTTTATCTGATTCCCATAGGGTTCAAATATAACAGGTTTATCTGATTCCCATAGGGTTCAAATATAACAGGTTTATCTGATTCCCATAGGGTTCAAATATAACAGGTTTATCTGATTCCCATAGGGTTCAAATATAACAGGTTTATCTGATTCCCATAGGGTTCAAATATAACAGGTTTATCTGATTCCCATAGGGTTCAAATATAACAGGTTTATCTGATTCCCATAGGGTTCAAATATAACAGGTTTATCTGATTCCCATAGGGTTCAAATATAACAGGTTTATCTGATTCCCATAGGGTTCAAATATAACAGGTTTATCTGATTCCCATAGGGTTCAAATATAACAGGTTTATCTGATTCCCATAGGGTTCAAATATAACAGGTTTATCTGATTCCCATAGGGTTCAAATATAACAGGTTTATCTGATTCCCATAGGGTTCAAATATAACAGGTTTATCTGATTCCCATAGGGTTCAAATATAACAGGTTTATCTGATTCCCATAGGGTTCAAATATAACAGGTTTATCTGATTCCCATAGGGTTCAAATATAACAGGTTTATCTGATTCCCATAGGGTTCAAATATAACAGGTTTATCTGATTCCCATAGGGTTCAAATATAACAGGTTTATCTGATTCCCATAGGGTTCAAATATAACAGGTTTATCTGATTCCCATAGGGTTCAAATATAACAGGTTTATCTGATTCCCATAGGGTTCAAATATAACAGGTTTATCTGATTCCCATAGGGTTCAAATATAACAGGTTTATCTGATTCCCATAGGGTTCAAATATAACAGGTTTATCTGATTCCCATAGGGTTCAAATATAACAGGTTTATCTGATTCCCATAGGGTTCAAATATAACAGGTTTATCTGATTCCCATAGGGTTCAAATATAACAGGTTTATCTGATTCCCATAGGGTTCAAATATAACAGGTTTATCTGATTCCCATAGGGTTCAAATATAACAGGTTTATCTGATTCCCATAGGGTTCAAATATAACAGGTTTATCTGATTCCCATAGGGTTCAAATATAACAGGTTTATCTGATTCCCATAGGGTTCAAATATAACAGGTTTATCTGATTCCCATAGGGTTCAAATATAACAGGTTTATCTGATTCCCATAGGGTTCAAATATAACAGGTTTATCTGATTCCCATAGGGTTCAAATATAACAGGTTTATCTGATTCCCATAGGGTTCAAATATAACAGGTTTATCTGATTCCCATAGGGTTCAAATATAACAGGTTTATCTGATTCCCATAGGGTTCAAATATAACAGGTTTATCTGATTCCCATAGGGTTCAAATATAACAGGTTTATCTGATTCCCATAGGGTTCAAATATAACAGGTTTATCTGATTCCCATAGGGTTCAAATATAACAGGTTTATCTGATTCCCATAGGGTTCAAATATAACAGGTTTATCTGATTCCCATAGGGTTCAAATATAACAGGTTTATCTGATTCCCATAGGGTTCAAATATAACAGGTTTATCTGATTCCCATAGGGTTCAAATATAACAGGTTTATCTGATTCCCATAGGGTTCAAATATAACAGGTTTATCTGATTCCCATAGGGTTCAAATATAACAGGTTTATCTGATTCCCATAGGGTTCAAATATAACAGGTTTATCTGATTCCCATAGGGTTCAAATATAACAGGTTTATCTGATTCCCATAGGGTTCAAATATAACAGGTTTATCTGATTCCCATAGGGTTCAAATATAACAGGTTTATCTGATTCCCATAGGGTTCAAATATAACAGGTTTATCTGATTCCCATAGGGTTCAAATATAACAGGTTTATCTGATTCCCATAGGGTTCAAATATAACAGGTTTATCTGATTCCCATAGGGTTCAAATATAACAGGTTTATCTGATTCCCATAGGGTTCAAATATAACAGGTTTATCTGATTCCCATAGGGTTCAAATATAACAGGTTTATCTGATTCCCATAGGGTTCAAATATAACAGGTTTATCTGATTCCCATAGGGTTCAAATATAACAGGTTTATCTGATTCCCATAGGGTTCAAATATAACAGGTTTATCTGATTCCCATAGGGTTCAAATATAACAGGTTTATCTGATTCCCATAGGGTTCAAATATAACAGGTTTATCTGATTCCCATAGGGTTCAAATATAACAGGTTTATCTGATTCCCATAGGGTTCAAATATAACAGGTTTATCTGATTCCCATAGGGTTCAAATATAACAGGTTTATCTGATTCCCATAGGGTTCAAATAT